AAGGAAATTGTCCCTCCTCTGGCAGAGCATCTGGTGGATGTGAACCCTGTACCTCTGGGATTGCAGTACAGCTTCTTGCCACTAGGCCACCAGAGCTCCCGAGGTCTTTTTTTTTTAAGATTTTAAACTTGTTCATTTTATATATGCCCACAAACAAAATCTCATTTATTTAGTATTAATTTGAATTCTAGTAAGAAGAAATTGGTGGTTTTGTTTGTTGTTGAATGAGAACCACATCACAGGTGATCCTCGAGGGGTTTTTCAGAGGCTGTAAAATATACCGGAAGAGACGGCCGATCTTTCCACTGTGGAGCAGCTCGTGGATTTAAACCACTTGCTCTAGGTTTGGGCACACAATTCCTTACCACTAGAACAACTGAAGATGAAATTAAGTTCTCCAAAAAAGAAACTGAAGGGAAAGGAAAAGTAGAAATTAATTACACAATTATATGGCTTTAGTAGTGAATCAGGAAGCTGGACCCTCATTTTCACCAACCGAGGTAGGAGCACAAGAATCAACAAATCAAGAATAGCAGTCAAATGATGCAAACAGTGGTTAATCATTCCTGTCTTAACTTTAAGCAAATAGAGTTTAATCAAACAGAGGTCTCACTTCTTCAACAGGAAGTTTTAAGACTCTAAAACTAGGTGAGGTTTTAAATTTTGTTTAATTACTCAGGAAGAAAAAAAAAACAACACCCAACTCTTCCTTTTTCCTTACATTGTATGGTTTAAAATCAAGAAAGGTGTCTATCAGGTTGTATACTTTCTCCACATGTATTCAATTAGTATGCTGGGCAAATAATTTAAGAAGCTGGACTATATAAAGATTTTTCTATCAGGATTTGAGGAAGATTCATCAACAGCCTGCCTTATGCAGATGACAGAACCTTGCTTGCTAAAAGTAAAACGGCTTGAAACATTTGCTGCAGGAAATCAAGTACTTCAATATGGGTTACATCTCAACATTAATAAAACAAAATCCTATCTCTGAACCAATAGGCAATATGCAACATCAATGACAGATGGAGAAAATATTCAAGTTGTCAGTGACTTCATTTTACTTGGATCCGCAATCAACACTGTAGAAGCAACAATCAAGAAACAAAAAGATGTGTTGTACTGGGAAAATCTGTTGTCATGGACCTCTCCAAAGAACAAAGATGTCAATTTTAAGATTAAGGTGTGTATGAATCAAGTGATGGCATTTTCAATTGGTTTCTATGCACCTGAAAGATGAACAATGAATAAAGATCACAGAATCCTTACTGAACTGATGATACCTTGGAATTATGGTGTTGGAGAAGAGTACTGAGTATATCTGTGAACTGTCAAAACCAAACAAATCTGTCTTGAAATAAGTGCAACCAGAGTGCTCCTTAGAAGCAAGGATGATCAAACTTCCTCTCACAGACTTTGGGCAGATTCTCAGTAGGAAGCAGGCCTTGGAGAGAGACATCACGTTGGGAAAGGCAGAGGAGAAGCAAAAGGAAGGAAGATTCTCAACAAGATCAACACGGTGACTGTTACAACAGGCTTAAGCATGACGGAGATCATGAGGATAGCCCGGGACGGGGAAAGGCTCAGGTCTGTCGTTCCTAAAATCACTATGAATCAAAGTCAACAAGGCAGTATCAAACAACAACAGTACACTGAATAGAGGACCCAGTGATTTGCAAATACTCCACAGTTCACATGTGTAATGTCCTCTCAGTACTAGTGTGAAGTCTTGGCCAGACTTGTGGAGTAGGGCCTTAAGGAGATCAGTATATTTAGGGACAACCTGAAGTATAGTGAGAGAAGTCACGCTGTGTCACAAAACATGACTGTACTCTGGTCTCTAATGGGGCTTTATGCCAGTTCAATGAAGTATGGTGATCTTTAATACAGGATCGTTAATGTTTGGCCAGCAAACAGAATTTTAAAATTAGTCCGAAGTAGCAAACTTCAACAAAGCAAACATCAAATGCTGGCAAGTTTGTGGAGAAACTGAAACCCTTATTCACTGTTGGTGGGAATGTAAAATGGTGCAACCACTAGGGAAGGCAGTAAAGGCACTTTCTCAAAAACTTGGAAATAGAAATACCATTTGACCCAACACTTCCACTACTGGGAATATACCCTAAAGAAATCAGAACTGCAACCCAAGCAGATATATGCATGCCCATGTTTATTACTGCTTTGTTCACAATAGCAAAGAGTTGGAAACAACCCAAGTGCCCATCAACAAACAAATGGATAGACAAGCTGTGGTATATTCACACAATGAAATACTATGCTACATTGAAAAAGAAGGAACTCATGAAATATTATACAAAATGGGTGACCCTAGGGGACATTACGCTGAGTGAAAATATCTCAGTCACAAAAGGACAAACACTGCATAGTGCCACTGTTGTAAAATGGGACTGATATCAGGGTTGGAGGAACCTAAGAAAAAAGGGGATAAATAATGTATACTGCATTGAAACAGATGAGGGAGAGAACTGTTTAAAAGGAATATATGATTAGGTATTATTTTCATCACAAAAGTCCAGAATAAGAATCCACAGTAAAGTGGACTAAGTGGGGGGAGAATGTATAACAATGGAAGAATTCTTTTTTTTCCTTCTTAAAGAGAAAAGCTAACTGGGGTTGAGGGGACAGGGAGGAAAATGTCCAACAATGTATGAATGGAAATCCAAAGTCTCTGTAAACTATGCTTAAAATTTCAATTAAAAAAAATAAGCCTGAAGTAAATGCCTTTGAAAATTTTCCTTCTTTTTAGGCAATTCAGTAAAAGGTATCAAGAATTGTTGGGCAACTGCAAATAACAGTAAGGCAATATAATTATGACAGATTGCTTTTAAACATGTTTTTATAAATCTTATCCCAGCCTTAGGGTTCATGAAGCCATGACTCTATAAATGCTTTAAAATAAAGAAAAATGTGCTACCTTCTGAGTCAGGATCACCAAAAGGATTTAAACCTGTTGCATCAGGATCCCCAAAAGGATTTGAATTCACAGTGGCCAAGCCCTTTTCCGCTTCATCCAAAAAATTAAGTTTGTTGATAAGTTCTGAAAATAAACATAAGTGTCAGTTCACTGTAGTATGGTAAAGTGCAATTATAGATCATTAATGCAATACTTCAAATTGCAAAAATGAATACTAATAATACCTGTAAATAGTAAAACAGAGCACTTTACCAATGGTAGAAGGATATTCAAGTATTTTGTAGCATACCAACATTTTTAGAGTAAACAAAACAGACATACACATATTAAATGGAAAATTATGTCTGATAATGAACCTTCAACTGATTGAATAAAAGAACTGATATCATAGATTTAGAAAATAACTTTAACTCTCAGTAGCAATTCATATAGGTTTAATAGAAGCAGTTAAAATATATTTAAAAATATAAACACATGGAAGAAATATTACCATGTCATATTATCAAATGTTATAAAATATTTTAAAATCACTGTCTATTAAGGATCTTCATATCAGGCTAGGTTAAAGAAGAGTTCGGTTCAGTGGCTGCCAGTTGGTGAACTACAAATTACTAAAGAAAACATTTAAGGAAAAGCACAAAGACAAGACTGACAGCTATATACAGGCAGAAGTCAAGAGGGAGCAGGTCACAGGATATACAGGGGATCAGAAACAGAAAGGAAGGAGGGAAGCTCTTAGACCTTCAGAGGAACTGGCTGATTTAGCTGAAGGCATATTTGCTTGCTTTATGGAGTCATCTTGGTCTTCATCTAAGCTGCTCAGAGCATTCAACTGGTTTACAATTTCTGTAAACAGAAGCCAGTCAAGACAAATGTAAGGTAAGGTCATTTAATTAAAGAGCAGTAGAAGCATGCTGTTACTTAAAAAGACAAAGAGAGGAGATGTTTGCTTAATCAAGAGAATACACTCAGAGGATGTTATTTTGATGAACTGTAACATGAATTTATCTGAAAGGTATGCTGTACTTTTACTTTAAAATAGAGAGTGCTTATTGTTAACTTATATTAGTAACACAACCACCATGTTAATGAACACAAAACAGAGATAATACTTCAAAAAGTTGACAATGGTTCTCAGAAACCCCTCTTGGCATTTGTAAGTGGAATTTTGCTTAATTATATATGTTAACAAAAGAATAAAAATATTTTGCTGCCACAGAAAAAAAGATATACCATTTGTTTTATATTATATGTTTTAACTAAAGGTGTATTATTCGTATGATTTACCTTGTAAACCATGTAAATAATAAGCACTGGCTCACACTTAAGGAGTTTAAAAACCGCTACTAAAGCAAGATAAGGCAGCAGCTACTATTCTCGCAGGGGCTCCTGTGGTCTAGGAACTCTAGTCTGTTCAGAAAACATGAGTTTCACTTTAGAGAATCTTACCATTTGTTCAGTAAGTAACAAATATTTGAATCAATATTTGAAATTTTCATTTATTGGATGAAAATTAGGCAGCTTTGAAAAAATTAAGTACCTACTAAGTTGAAACAGGGATAATGGGGGTAGGGGGTCTCAGAGACAGTGAGAGTGGCTCAGGATAGAAGAGGTCAGGACTACTCTGCTTAGGGTCCCTCTGAGTCCCAAGAGACTCAACAGCACAGAACAACAACAAAGGGTGCTCTACCCTATTCTAGGGTACTTTATTAAGGTATACTAGGGAACTCTGGTGGCCTAGTGGTAAGAAGTTGCGCTGCAATCCCAAAGGTACTTGGTTCAAATTCACCAGATGCTCCACGGGAGAAGGATGGGCAATCTCCTCCTGTGTGATTTACTGTCTCCAAACTGGAGGGTCAACTATGAGTCAGTTCTGATTCAACAGCACACAACAACAACAGAGGATATTTCAGTAAATCCTTACTGTTTCCAAAATGAAAATCTGAGAATAATTTTGAAAGTCTAGTAAAGAAAAACAAAACTTCCCCATCCTTAAGTGGAATAAGCATCACCACCACAAGGTTAACAGAAAATAGCTCTAAATTTAACATTTTAAAACATTGTTCTGAACATTCTAATTCTAAACACACATTCTAAATGTTATTTGAACCCACCACATAATACAATTTTATATCACGGATGTCTTCATCCATTCATTCATCTACTGAGCAAGGACACAGAGACAGGGATAAAAATAGACATGTTTATCTATTCTCCCTCTGGAACTGACATTCTAAGAAGATATAAAATCAGCATTAAAACCTGCTTAATGAGGATCTTAAGTTGTAAAACTCTCAACTGCTAACTAAGAAGTTAGAGGTTCAAATCCACCTGGTGGCATTCTGGAGGCAAGCCTCAGCAATTCAGGAAAACAAACAAACAAAAAAAATCAATCCTTCAAAATGCTACAGGACAGTTTTACTCTGATACACGAGAGTTTCATCACAAATGGCAACAGACGTGAGAGTAACTGGTTAAAACAGTAAGCTGTCAGAAATGTAACTGCTAACTTCAGATATACAAGCTAAATATGTATGAAAAGTTGCTAAACTTATAAATGTACCTTCTCAAAATGAGAAAATTTTATATAAATAACACAGTCCAGGAAATCACAGAAAATAAAAGGTAACAAATAAATCCCATTTAAATTCTGCATACTAATTTGAAGAAACAGATTTTCTAACAGACCTTCTACTAACTTTGAATCTAATTCTGGCTCAATTTCATCTAGTAGATTCCTTGTTGATGATGTTGTTGTTGTTGTTGTTGTTGTTAGGTGCTGCCAAGTCACGTAGGACCCTTCGTGACCCTATGAAGAGCAGATCTGAACCCTGCCCTATCCTGTCCCATCTTCACACCTCTGACACACTAGAATCCTTGCAGCAGTCACTGTGTGGATCTACCTGGTTGAGGGTCTTCCTCTCCTTCACAAACCCTTCTTCTTGACCATAAATTAGAACCTTTGCTTTTCAATATCAGTCATTGTACTTTGCAAGTTTTAGGAAAACAGAGTAGAAGATCAGTGTTAAGTGACTACTCATTTTCTATTTTAAAAAATAGGGAAATGATTTGTTTTTAACTTTGGAAATGAACAGCAACCAACAATAATCAAGCACTGGAAATGTCTTTATATAGATTTAGCTCATAAGATACACTATGAATTAGTATTTACATTTCATTTGTACTGTATTCCAGATGTGAAATTAGACCAAAACAATGTTAAAACAATGCTTTAAGACTTGTCATTTTCTCTAGAATCACTAAAAAAGTCACCGCTGTTGAGTTGATTCTGACAGTGACATCGTGGGACAGAGCAGAAGTGCTTCATAGTTTCTGAGGTAAAACTTTAAGGGAGCAGACAGCCCATCTTTCTCCCAAAGAGGATGGCTGCTGGGTAAACAATCAATCGTGTGGCACAATAAGCACCAGATAAAACAATATAACACACTAAAGCAATATACAGTGGATGAGAAATACTATTTGTTCTCAAGTCTAATAACGTAGGGTATGTTGAACTATAAGAAAGAAACTCGGTCTTAGGTCAGGGAAGCTCCTGGAATTTGTCTATATATATTTGAGCCAGCACAAGACACAGACTTCTTTTAAAAAAGAAAAAAAGGAAATAAGAGGATTCCATGAAATGAGAACAAAAAATATAACAAGAAAAATATATGAGTTGTTTGGGGCTTAAAAACACCAAGGGTGGAGACTGAGATGAATCTGGCAAATGTCATGCCTTGAAGGTTATTATTACACCAAGCTAAAAGAACGTGAACTTTACTCTCAAGAGCTCCGGGAATCCCTTGAAAGATAAAGCGTGCACTTCAGATGCATCATTCCAGCAGCAACATAGTGACAGCATTCCAAAAAAAGGACAGGAAGCAGGCAGGGGTAGGGGTGGCAGTTCAGTGTCACAAATGCACGCTGAGAAGTTTTCAATAAATAGTTGGAAATGAATAAAAGAGAAATGGTTGACAGTTAATGGACGTGGAGATGGAGAATGGGATGCAGGCGAGGTGACAAGTTTCTGTCTTGAGGGACTGTGTGGATGGACGGTCGAGAACGACAGTAATGGGCTCTTCAGTCTGGGACATTCTGGACTCCAGTTGCGTGTGAGACACTCCACAGGGTGTTCTTTGTGGACACGAGCCCAAAATGGACTTGGTGGCGAAGTCTGTGGTATGTTTGCCGTGAAAGGATGTCTCTCCCACATTCTGAGGAAGAAAGGCAAGCAATTTCCTCTCACTGAGATTTACAGCCTCAGAAACCCCAACAGAGGGTTGATATGAGTCAGAATAAATGCAACAGTATGACGTTTAGTGCTGGCTTTTTTAAGAGCCTAAAATACATAATGCTGTTATATATTTCTCCTTCAAAAAATCAGCCTTTCTTTTTGCTCCAAATTTCCTAAAGTCAACGTGTTTCATAGACAGAAAAGGGGGGGAAGAAAAAAATGGAGAAGAATTTAAAGAAACTTATTTTATTTAAATAAATTTAAAATATTTCTTTCTGGTCTTTTATTTTTAAGTGGGACGTTTTCCCAGTAAAATATTCTTCGGATCAAAAAAAACCCCCCACAGTGCTATACATACCTACTTTATTACTCATTAAAGCCTTGTTAACTGAAAATTTACATCTGAGGGAAATCCTAGTAACATTATGTACCTGAACATACACATTTTCTACACTAGTATTACTTAAACTGAGGAATTAAGCCACGATGCACATCATACCCGTGTTGTCAGCCTTGAGTATTGGGGACAGTAAGAAGGAAAACTAAATTAGGGGCAGGCAATCGAAGCCAAGGGTCAAGTAATTTGAGACTCTTCTTTACTGTTGGGAAGGCAGAAGAAGATAGAAATTGACCACCAGAGATAATCACATTGAACAACAAAAAAGGGGGGCAGGGACGGGGGCATGAAGAGTAGGTAGCTTTTCCTTTTAAGAAAGTTCACAGTCTGAGGTGTTGTGTTTTTTTTTTAAAATAAATAAATAAACGGTACAGAACCTAACAGTAAATCTAGGAGCCTCCTCACTTGTCTCCCCACAGCATTACAGGACTCAGGACAGGCAAGTCTTTTCTCAAAGGTGTTCTCAGATAATAACTTTTTAACTTCCTACGAGAAATCAAGGTCAAAAAGATTTCACTCATGTCCTTTCCCCAGTCAATTTTCACCCCTACACACAAGCATTTTCTATTGTTTTCAGTGTTGGATTACTTTTGCATCTTTTACAATGTCATGTAAATGGAATTGTATAGTATCTTTATTCCAGTCTAGCTCTATCAGATGGGCTCTCAGTATCTGCAGAACCATCTGGGAGGGTTCTTGGGAGGGAGGAGGGGTTAGAGAAAATGCATGGTCGTCTTTAGTGCAAATGGTGGCATTAGGGCTTGAGAGAGACACAGAACAGAGGCTGGATTTGTGGTCTCTATCTTCTGCCACTCCTAGTCTCTGAGTTTCCACATTTGGTTCCCAACACCTGGAACTGACCAGTCACTCATTCTAAATTTCATGGAGAAGGAGGTAGCCAAGGTGCATTAAAAACCTTTTAACTCCAAAACAACTATGAGATATCATCTCACCCGAGTAAGAATAGCAAAATTTAACAGAACATCAAATGCTGGCGAGGTTGTGTAGAAAGTGGAACCTTTATTCACTGTTGATGGGAGTGTACAATGGTGCAACCACTAGGGAAGGCTGTATGGTGCTTTCTCAAAAAGTTGCAAATAGAAATACTATTTTACCCAGCAATTCCACTACTGGGAATTTACCCTAAAGAAACCATAACTGTCACTCAAGCAGATATATGCACATCTATGTTTACTGTGGTTTGTTTGCAATAGCAAAGAGCTGGAAACAACCCAAGTGCCCTCAACAAATGAGTGGATAGAGAAGTTCTGGGTATTCACACAATGGAATACTATGCAGCATTGAAAAACAAGGAACTCATGAAATATTATGCAAAATGGATGACCCTGGAGGACATTATGCTGAGTGAAATATCTCAGTCACAAAAGGACAAATATTGCATAGGGCCACTGTTGTAAAACTGAACTGACATTGGGGTTGAGGGAAGACAGAGAAGGAGGGGAGGAATGATGTATACTGCATTGAAACAGATGAGGGAGAGAACTGTTTAAAAGGGATATATGATTGGGTATTATTGTCAATACAGGAGTCCAGAATGAAGGCTGCACAGTGGAGTTGACTTGGGGGGAGGGATTGCATAACAATGAAAGAGTTTTTCTTTTACTTTTCAAGGAGAAGAGTGAATTGGGGGAGGAGGGGTGGGCAGGGAGAAAAGTGCAACAATGAATGACTGGAAACCCTAAGTCTCTTCCATTAAAGGAAAGTAAACTTTCATTAAAATTAATAATAATAAAAAAAGATTCTGTGGATCTCCCACATTGGGAAAAAAAACCCAAAATATCTTTTAGCTCAATTCCGTGTTCTCCTCATTTTCCAATCTCAATACCTAGATAATGATAATTTCCCAGAAATTCTCATCCTTTACATATCTCCAATTCAAGTGAGTGTTTTCAACTTCTCAAGTATTGAGAGGGCAGATGCCCCGTAGGGGAAAAAATGAGATACAAATTAATCTTCTGACCAGAGCCCCAAGTTTACTCTGAAGAACCTTACAGTGAAAGGTGGAAGACCAGCTGACTCTAGCTATAAGGACACTGAACCTCAGGAGGCTGAGTCATACCATATTCAACTCTAACTCCTTAAATCTGAACTGACATTGCCTCCAGTATTGTCTATGTGTTACATTTTGTCCCCCAATGGTTTTATATGTCTGTATCGACATCTAGGGCTGTTCAGGTGTCTTCCAATAGAAGAGTGCCCTCACTGTTTACTGTGAATTGCTGTAGTTCAACCTGGTTTTCTGAGCTATATACAATAAGTACTTATTGTTCATTCAAGATTTTTCCTTCTTCAAACTAGTACATATTCAGAAATTCAACTCAAATCCCAAAGATGGTCAGATCACTGGTTCCTATGTAGTGATGTTGCCATACAAACACAGAGACATCAGTCACTCTGAGGACGTATAATTCATATTTGTTGCAGTAAACTTTCCATGAAAAGGCTTTACTCCTCCAACTCTAAGGCTTATTCTTTTTGCTACATTTCGGTTGTTCTTCTGACTATAATTCAAAATTTTCCTCTTCTTTCTCTAACTGCAATTTAAAACTTTTTGGCTGCATGTCTGTATAAAGGACATCTCACTGTTAGTAAATATGTGGCATTAATAAAATGTCCCTGCCTGAAAGCCTTTCCCCAAACATGTTTCCATTAAGCAGGGGATTCTCAGACTAAGTGGAATAGAGACCTTGGAGAAACTAAACATAGATCACATGGAGGGAGTTATTTTCACCTTCTTGCAAAGATATTAATGATAAAAGATTTTGTCAACTATTTGAACAACTTCCAAGAAGAAATTACCAACTAAATGAAAAGTCACTATGAATTCATTCAAATTGGCTTAGGCACCCTAAAAAACACACAAAATCATATCAAACAGCATATTTTCAAATGAAGTATGCCGTTTACTTGGAGGAGGAAATTTTTTAAATCACACAGCACAATTATACTTTATATACTTATAAACATAAAATTAATAATGAGAAAATTTAAAATAACAATTCCTTCCTCCAAGGGCCAGGAAAAAAAATCACTCTGCTAATAGCACATCACTTCCCACACCTGCCATCAGAAAAGAAGTGTAAGTTTTTCAGCACTGCAAAAAATTGAACTTCTAGCTTCAATGGTAAGGAAAAGTAACTAACCTGTAATTTCTGCTGCCTTTTCCTCTTGATTAACTCGGTTTTCATCATCTTCTTCATTGTCTTCTTCAAAGTCATCTAAATTGCCAATGTCAGCCTGCTTCATGCTCATCAAACTAGCTAGACTTTGCATGTCTTCGTCTCTACATCGGGGATTGAAAAGTGCAACAATGAATGAATGAATGGAAATCCAAAATCCCTATAAATGTTCATTAAATTAATAAGAAAAGAAATAATATTTCAAAAAAGAAAATGGAATACAGAGCTCATTAAATTGCTTAAAAGATGCCTGCTTAGGAATAGTGTATTTCTTACTTTAAGATACAATGTTAATGTCTTCTATAATGACGATATAAGTATACTTAAAAGTCTATATACTTGTATTTATTAATTTTTGAATGGCATGATTAATTAGTAAAAAAGAAGGAAGATTTACAACTAACTAGATAGTAATTAGTTTAATTCTGTGCAGATCTATCGGTGACTAAATTTTTCTTTGCACAAATAAAGCATGAATACTGATTGTGAAGTCTGAAAATAAAAATTTGTTTCCTAAAATGGGGTCAGCTGCAATTCAGATGAGATCTTCACTTTAAAATGTGTACACCATAAAAAAAGAACTGAAACAGGAATTCTTAATCTGTAGAACACAAATCGTTTGGGGCCTTATTGGTAGGAGAAGGTTGTAAACTCCTTGTAAATTAATTTTGGCCTAAATCTGCATTGTTTTATAAAGAGGCCATAATTTGCTTATCCAAAGTTAAGGAATTACTGTAATTAAAAAAGAAAATCTAATCTTACAAAGAACTATAATATGAAAAATAATCTGGGCTATTAGAAGTTAAATACCATGTACTTACAAATGTTAAATTTTTTAAAAAAATATTTTAAATATAAATTTATAAAGTTTATATTAAATACACTAAAAGTAAGCTAACTTACATTTTCTTAAACTAATTTACCACAAGGTTCAAATACTATGAATGAGACTTATTTCTAACACAAAACATATGATCTTTTATATATATATAATTTTGTATATTTCCTCAAAATTAAAAAACCAAATAAAAGTTTATTTTCTAAAATATTTCTTTTTACCTAACTTCTAAATATGATGTGAATTTATAAGCTAAATGGGTATTTGAAACACTTTCTGTTGTATCTGATAAAAGGCACAGAGTTAACAAAATTAATTCCGTCTGTAAAAACAAAGTTTAAAATAGTAAATCTGCATGAACAACAACAACAACAAAAAGAAATTGTATTGCCTTAAATGAAAGACTTGGAAATGGTTTACCTACCAATGGGTATAATTTCAAGAATATCACATCTTCCATCAAACATTAACTTGCTAATTTTACTTCCAGTATTTTCCCATTTCACACCTGAGTTGTTCTCTTTGGGGAGGAAGGAGGATGTTTTATGATGTTCTCAGGGTGTCTGAGAAGTCTCTAACCTCCTGAGCCCTGCTGACTGAATTTCCTTCCACCTAGGTTGTCACGAATGGTGCAGATTCACTTACTTCTTTGGCCCAGTGGGAAGGAATCCACCCTCTACAGATCTTTTTCAAATCTGTTTACTCTCTTGTTCTTCCTTTCCTTTGATCTTGGCTTGAACCTGAGGATCTTTATGTTCAATCTCTCAGTGTCTAGGGCTCCCTTTTAAGGTTCTGAGAGGAAAGACTAATTGCTACCATTCTGCACTGTCTCCCTAGCACCCTCAAAAGTCAGCTTCCCAGAAAGAAGGCTTACTGTTATCAACCAAGTTAAGTCCTCTGCTGTCACGTAGATAAAGTGCCAAATATCTCATTTTGACTGACGCAGAGTCCAATTTAATCAGTCAAGTGAGATGGCCAATTATAGTAACCACGTTCTATCAGGTCAAATACATTTAGAACTGTGCTTCCCACTCGATTTCAATGTCCACAGTGGCTGTGTTCTCACTTTTTAAGTCCTAGGCTTACCATTTCTATTTTCTTCTCACTGAGCTTCCACTCCAGGTATGCACTACACCCACAAGTGTCATTTGACCGCATGCTGTAACTACACTGGGATATTAATTTTTTTTCCCCTGCTCTAGGTCTGTTCGTATCTTCTTGGGTTTAGAATTTCAAGTCTTTTCAAGAGCAGAAGTTGGTGTAGGGTGGTGTGCACTGGTCCAAGTGGCATCACAGAAGAATGACCCACCTTCATAAACAACGTGCTGTGAGCTGTCACAAGTCAATGCCGACACATGGCGACCCTATGTGACAGGGTGGAACCACCCTGTGGGATTCCCAGCCAGCAGTCCCTATGGAAGGACATCATCAAGTCTTTTTCCCTTTGGAGCCAGTGAGTGGGTTTAAACGGTCCTCCTATTGGTTCGCAGCCAACTACTTAACTGCTGTGCCACCAGGATTTCTCACATACGTATCACAAGCAAAAAGATCCCATGGTGCAGTTGGACTCCATAACACATGGAGAGTCTTCTCCACTGCACTGGGTCTGGACTGTGTGTTATCGTTCACTCAAGGCTCAAGAAGAATCCTTCACAAGGGACAATGGCTTCTGTGAACTGCTTATCTGACTGTATTTTCATATACAGTGGTTGGAAAACTGAGGCAAATAGTAAGAAAAGGCAAACGTTTCTTTAGTTTTTCCTCTCTTATCTAAACTTTTCACTTAGGTTCCTCTTGTGCCTCAAACAGCTCCACAAAGGAAGTGACTACAGAGCACACACTTTACACTGATGGTGAAATGCACACACATGCTCCTCACTAGAACATAATTACGTCACAACGTTCAGGCCGCGGTGCTAACCTCAGTGACCCAGCGCTCCCCGGGAATCACTCTGGAGGCAGCTCTGTGGGGCGGCTCTCTGCCCTGAAGTCACCTTCTACAACTGGAGGCTCAGGTCCGGACTGCGGGAGAGCGAGGTGGCTTGTACCATTCATTTCACAGGCGTCGCTGCCTGACTCGGTCATGATGTGCAGCAGGGAGGGGACGTACTTGACCCTGAGACCCACTGAGTTAGTGTCTGTTGAAACGCCTCCAGGAATGCATGCAGTGGATTGCAGGGCCCCTCCAGGGCCTTCTCACAGATGTGTGGCCTGAGCTGCATTTCCATCACCAGCCCAAGGCTCAGAGAGGACTGAGTGAAGCCATGGGGCATGTGTACGTGCCAGTGGCCCAACATCAGCTTTGTTTTCCTTTTCCTCTGCTACGCAGTCACATCCAAGGCCCATATGGAAGGATCAGACACTTGGGGTTCAGGAGGAAGGCACGCTTATCCCACAAAATACACGAGTCCTTACCTGGTTGTGAGGTTATTTACATAGATTTTTTTTTTAAACTTTTTGTCATAAATGTGAAATGTTGGATAATGAGACAGTCCATCAGTGAGGAGCAGGCGTATAAAATAGAAACTTATGCTGCTCTGTGCAATTAAAATCAAAACTTTGAAAAGTTGAAAATGGAAACCAGCTATAGCCACATTTATATTACTGTTCACTTTCAAAAGGGAAAAGAAACTGTAACAAGGAGCTCATTTAATTCACGCTCAGGAACGAAGAATGGCAAGAATGACTGGTATGCTGTCGGATGTGCTACATGTTTAAGAGGCAAAAGCTGTTACCTGGGGTGTTCTGAAAGACAATCTGAAGCAGTCTATTAGACAAAAGAAACTTACGTGGCTTTTCCTTCCCGGAGGAATATGCAAGATAATGAAAACTGTAGAGTGGCTGATACAACTTTTTTAGACAAGGGCTTGAATTTTAACTTCACGTCCGTCTGAGTTGGCATAGGGCTTGCGTATTGTTTCATGTTGATGCTGCTGGTAGCTAGTGCTTTCCTTCGACCAGAAGGGGATTCCTGCAAGACAAACATTAATTCTGTTAGGAATTAATTCTAGGAGGTATGTGCTTTTTAACCAAATATTTTAAAATGCACCTTGATATGATAAAACATGAGCACTTCCATCTCCAAAGAATTATAGCAATAATTAGATAAAACTGTCAAGAAGTTACATCACAGCTTTAATACACATGAATAAGGCAGGCATGAAATTAGAGATGGCTCAACAAAGCAGAAACAAGAGAAGAACAGAGCAAATCGAAGCATGCCACGAAAGGAACAGAAGGATTGGAAATAAAGACAGCTCATTGGAGAGCAGCTGGCGAGAGAAGACCGAGGCTATGACAAGGCATCAGCAAGCACTCAACAATTACTATCTTGGCTTTCTGTCACATGCTACTTTGGTGTTCTGAACAACTACAGTTTTATACAGAACACCCAGTTCTGGTGGCACTCTCTCTCTCCCTCTTGCCTACTGTACATAAATTCTATTTATTCTATGTTATTGTTGCTGTTGTGTGCACTCGAGTCAGAATCAACCCATAGCCGACCCTCCAGCAGCTTTGTAGAGGTAGTACATCAAATGAGAGGATCAGAGCTGCCAGGGGTTTCAAACATTTCTTGGGGATCACAGTGAAGCTTCTTCCAATTAGGCTACCAGAGCTTCCTATTTATGCTACTTCTTATTTCTTTATCTTCCAAGGCATATACTGATCACCCAGTTCATGTTCTCTCACATTCACTAAGATCACAAATATCCAGGAAGAGAAATGGTTGTTGGTTTCTCGAATCCTATGTCCATGGCAAACCCTGCTAACTGACCCACTAGATCTCAGCATCCTCAACACAGCTATTTATTGCCAGTGCCTCACAACTTAAGTAGAAACGAAACCTATTTGCTATCCAAAGTGTCTAATATCCCATTAGAAGTCTACTTTGTTTTATAATTATCCTTTCTAGAATGATAGCCTAAGAGCACAAGGAAAATACGGCAAAATATGATTGGGTGGTGCGCAAATTCTGGAGAGACATGATGATGAATGAGACAATTCCTGGTTATGTGGCAAGAGGGAAATTAAATACACGTAGGGCAATTAGTAAAGAATGACAGAGGTTACATACTAGAATGAATTATAAACCAAAGGCCATGGACATTTCTTCCTAGACTAGGAGATGAGACCTAAACTTAATTAAGGCCAAATTTCCAAGCTCAATACGGAACTCCGTAAACTTGAATTTTGGTAAGCTTCCCTACAAAATAGCCTGAAATTCAAACTTTATAATTACTTTCCATGAAATCACTCCATTTCCCTACCAAGGCAGGAAAAGGAATCAGAAATTCTACTGGGCTACTAATTAATAAACATTTTTCATATCCCTGACAACATTTGTTTAAAATAAGGATATTAATTTAATCAGAACATTAAAGAAGACTTTTCCACCCCAAAAAAGGCATTTCTGTCCAACAGAACAAGTCAAAATGTAATGTAGCACCCCTAAAGAATACCTACTTTTAAAATGTGGTCTTATCTGTCAGATTATGTGCAGCAATATTATACTGAACTATTAGTGCATGTAGATACCTTATGAATGGATTTCACAAATGCATCAAGCACTTGAGCAGGATTTAAGCCCTCTCAGAAGAAATACTTAAGAATATGCAAATATCCTCAACTGAATCAAGTTGAACAGATGTGACTATCCCAAACAATACAAATGTTCCTTCCCTGGTCGCTACTGTCAATCAAAGGAAAAGATTAAGGTCCAAGGTTCTGACAATGTGCAAAATGAAAAGTATGATCAAGGAGTATAAATTTATTACACTGATATGAACAATAATCTCTTATTGTACTTTGAGAATAGCTAACAACTTCTACACAGAATATAGGATTTAAACCCTATTGTGAGAGCATAACATGCAAACTGCTCCACACTACTTTATTTTTTTTTGTTAAATTTATTTCACAATATATGATGTTGATTCCATCATAGGAATGGTTTTACTTTATAACTAAATAAACTATGAAAATGAAAATAATAGGGAAGTGAACAGCAATGTGAAAGCTCAGTTTACAGATGGATCCTACAAAATCTAGAGCTTTGATGATTATTATTTTGTCAAATTCCTTTTTTGAATGATGATTATATAGAAAGTTTTTCTGCTCAAATCAGTTTTATGACAAAAACAATAGGAAATAAAAGCCACCAAGCTAATGTACTCTATCCTAAAGAACCTGTTCTTGTTGATTTCATCCTTTATCTGATCTTTCCCCTCTTTCAAGGGAATCCTGGTGGCCTAGTGGTAAGAAACTGCACTGCAATCCCAAAGGCAGCAGGTTTGAATCCACCAGCTGCTCCACAGGAGAAGGTGAGCAATCTCCTCCTGTGTGATTTACCACCTCTGAAAACCTGCTGGAGGCTCAGCCATGAGTCACTTCCGACCCGATGGCACACCACAAAGACAAACAAACTCAAGTGTACCCGATTCACGCCATGGGATTTTTTTAATCATTTGCTATGCATCTGAGAGATGGACAAAGAGTAAGAATGACAGAAAAAGGATTGTTGTCTTTGAGTTGCAGTGCTGGAGAGCACTGAATATCCCTAAGAACTGCTAAAAGAACAAACACAGATAAGCTGGAAAAGGTGCAGCCAGAGTGCTCCTTAGAGACAAGGATGGTAAAACTTTGTCTCACCTCCTTTGGGCATACTGCTAGGAGAGAGTATTCCTTGGAAAGGGACATCCTGCTTAAATGGGTGGCTTGACACTGCAGCAACTGGGCTCACAAGTGTCAGAGATGATGAGGATGGCACAGGTTAGGACAAGGTTTAGATCAGTTATTCATAGGGTCACTACAAGTCACACTCAACTCTAAGACATCTAACAACAATACTTATAGGTGTCATTGAGTTGACAACAACTCACAGAGGCGCTATGAACAAACAGATCTGAACCCTGCCCTGTCCTCCACCTTCAGGATCTCCCTTATGTTCAAACCTAGTGTTACAGTCACTGTGTCAATCCATTTTGTTGATAGTCATCCTCTCTTGCCCTCAATTTTCCCCCAGATTATGTCTTTTTCCAAGGACTAGACCCTCTGACAACATGCCCAAGTATGTGAGAGGAAGTTTCAACAACCAAGCTTCTAAGGAAGGCCTTGGTTGCACGTCTCCCAAGAAAGGAATAGATTCTACGTCTGCTATCCTTTCTATCATCCAACTTTATGACATGTGGGTGCTGTTACTGTTAGGTGCCACTCAGTCAACTACGATGGACCCTATGAACAACTGTTCTATCCCATGCCACCCTCACAATCTGACACACTCAAACCCACTGCCACAATCACTGTGTCAATGCATCTGGATGAGGGCCCTCCTATCTTTTTCTGCCCTTCCACCTTTACAAGCATGATTTCCCTCTCCAAGGAATAACTTCTCCAAAGTATTTGAGATGAAGCTTCATCATTTTTGCCTCCAAAGAGCACTCTGGCTGAACCTTCTCCAAGTCATACCTGTTTGTTCTCCTGGCCGTCCATGGGGATCATCAGCACTCTCCTCCAACATCACAGCTCAAAGGCATCAAGTCTTCTGTCATCCTTTGTCACTCTCCACTTCTCAGATGCACAGCAAGTGACTGAAAAGACCAGGGCCTGAATAAGGCAATCCTTAGTCCTCAAACTGACATCATTACTCCTCAATAATTTAAAGAGGTCCCTGACTGCAAACTTTTGCAGTGCAATATGTCTCCTGATCTCCTGATTATTGGTACTAAGCGGATCCAAGGAAGATGAAATCATTGACAGTCTCACATCTTTCTCCATCCATCATGATGTTGTCTATTGGTCCAGTGGCAAAGATTTTTGTTTTCTTGGTGTTGAGATGCAATTAATATTGAAGGCTGAAGTGTTTAACCTTCTATAGCAAGTGCTTCAAGTCTTCCTCACTTTGAGGAGCAAGGTTGTGTCATTTGCCTAACACAGCTAATTTATGAGTCTTCCTCTGATCCTGTTGCCACATTTTTCTTCATAAGATCCATTTTCTTTAATAACTCTCTCAGTGTGTGTGTGTATAAAGTTTATAACCCTTTGCTCTGTTCAATTCCCTTGTTCTGTTCCAAAAACAGCCTCCTGGTCTAGTTATAGCTTTCACAAAAGCTCAGTCAAGTGTTCTAGGATTCCCATTCTTCCCTACGTTAGCCCACAACTTGTTATGATCCACACAATCAACTGCCTTTGCAGAGTGAGTAAAGCACAGACATTCTTCTGACACCCTTTACCTTCAGCCAGGATCCATTTGACATCAGCAATTATATCTGTGATGCCATGGCGTCTCTTTAAAATTCAGCCTAAACTTCTGGCAGTTCTCTATGTACTATTCTAGCTGTTTCTGAATGATTCTCAAAAGTAATTTTGCTTGCATGTGATACAAAAGATTTTGTTCAATAATTTCCACATTCATCTCTTCAGTGAGCCAGGAAGTTGCCCTCCAAACTTCATGGCATAGAATGGTGAGCACATCCAGGGCTGCATCAGTTATCTGAAACATCAATTCGTGGGGCCCTGTTTTCTGTCAATGCCTTCAGTGCACCTTGTATCTCTTCATTACCACTGGCTCTTGATCATATGGTGCCTTCTTGAAATATTTCAGTGTCGACCCATTCTTTTTGGTACAGTGACTCTGCGTGTTCTCTCCCTCTTCTTTTGATGTTTCCTAGACCATTCAATATTTTTCCCATAGAATCCCTAAGTATTGCAACTCAAGACTTGAATTTGCTTTTCAGTTCCTTCATTTTGAGAAATGCTGAGCGAGTTCTTTTATTCTCCAATTCTAGGTCTTTGCACGTTGCATTATAGTAGAAGCAACTGATAATACTATGGCTTGGATCAGATGCGCGTTGGTCTATAAATGGACATAGCTGCTTTTGTACTTTAGGAGGGTACCTGGCAGCTGACTTTTCCCAATGCAACATGTCTCTTGACTTCCTGACTACTGCTACCATGGGTGCTAACTGGGTAGCC